CTCAGCCAAGGTGGAAGTTGGTTAGATAGCCGTTTAGGTGATGGCAATTAGGTGCCTGACTCTGAGAGCATGGGTTCGAATCGCAGATGGGACTCAACCCAACAAAAGTACGAAAATCTGTACTTTACTGAGTAAGGTTAATCCAAAATATAGCATGTGTTAAATTATACAAATATCAACGTGCCGTTGTGCCTGGGACTTCTCTTAAATACAGTGAGCTTCCTTTCACATTACACACGTTTTGTTGGGTTGTTTTCTGTTGTTGTTTTTTGTTTGTTTGTTGTTGTTGTTTTTTTTGGGGGGGAGTGTGGAGGTATAACAGTGATATACCAGGTATACACATAGCCACAAACACATGCAAATGCAAGTTAAATATTCACTAGAACAAACACGAGAAAAAAGAATCCTTCAGCTTTCATTGTTTAGGTCCATTCCTCCACATACACCATTCCAAATACCAGTTGATTATCATTTAGTTACAATTGCAACTATCTGGTCAATGGCTATACATATTAATTTATATTGGGGAATTTATAAGAAAGTGAATTTATTCGATATAATCACTGAAACATTCGCACCTATCATTTTCTTTCCGTAAGATAACAAAAGCTCACGATTGAGAAAGACGCTACATCCCTTCACATGTATTATCCACGACTGCCAGTCGGTTTCTATGTGAGTCAGCACCCTGGCCTCTCGTGGGTTTCAAAAAGGTGTAAATACAGTGTATTGTAAGTTATAGTCCGTTTGGCTCAAAAGCGGACCGATGAATTGCAATCTAACTCGAAAACTAATAAACATAAAATACTCAATGAAACGCTGAGCATAATCCAAACATCACACCAACTCTGTTAGTTTTTTGCAGAATTTTTGTACGAATAATAAAAAAAGTTCTTTAACAAACTATCAGTAAAATATTGACACAGTTCACTATTTGTTACGAAGGAGGAGTGCAAAGAAAGGGACAGCCAGGTGTTCGAGAAGCACGTTCAGAGACAAAGTTATTTATTCATTAACTTGTCCTGTGCCGTCTCCATCCGTTCTCGAACACCTGGCTGTCCCTTTCTCTGCCCTCCTCCCTCGTAACAAATAGTTAGATTGCAATTGCTCACAGTGAATGAATTTTAACTGAACCTTCTTTGTGGCATATCTTGTTCGTATTGTGCATCAAGGCATCTTACAGGGGGTCGATGTGTAACGTATATGACGTTTCACTTTCTACTCTATTGTATCCTGTGATTACTTTTCTAATTTCATTACAATAAATCAAGTTTGTTTCAGTACCCGACCTGTGTAAGATGAGGTCTGCTGTCTATCTACTGGTGATCATCCAGGCCGTGTCGGGTACAGCTGCACAAGGTACTGCTGTGTTATTTAGTTTCCTGTTTCTCACCATGTTGGTATTCCGGGTTACAATAGGTCCCTGACAACCTACACGTGTCCCTGACAACCTACAGGGGTCCCCGACAACCTACACGGGTCCCCGACAACCTATATGGGTCCCCGACAACCTCCACGGGTCCCTGACAACCTACATGGGTCCCCGACAACCTACACGGGTCCCCGACAACCTACACGGGTCCCCGACAACCTACACGGGTCCCCGACAACCTACACGGGTCCCCGACAACCTACACATGTACTTGTTAGCGGTTGCCAAATAAACTGTGTGAACAGATGAGCTGATTGCCTTATGTCGGATCACCTTGACAGAAAGAGTAAACTATTCGTATTCAGAGCTATGAATTATGTATTCCCCTTCGCAATCTGCTCTGTCAATATTTTACTTATATGTTACACGAGGACCAGGATCAAGTTGTCACTACAAGAATGGATGCAGTCCTTCCCCAGACGTGTGTTCAGTGCCTCCTCCAGCTTGTCAGACAGACTGGTCTGGAACGTACTGTCAGTGGCGTAAGTTCTAGACTGCTATGTTCTAGATGTTATACATAAACACCAAGCATTGTTTATATGTTTGTTTGTTTATATTTATTTATTTATTTACTTACTTACTAACCTACCTATTTATTACTTATTTGCTAATGTGTGTGCTTACAGTCGAGCACAAAAGAGATTCATGCCACGAGGTGGAACTGTTTGATATTTGGAAATTTATGACGATATTGTTTATAACACCAAATTCAAGGTCATCTTTTGGCTTAAAGTTTTGTGTTTCGGTGATGCTCGGAAGAGTATTAAAGTCACGATAATGACACAACTGCAATGACAATACGGAAACAGATGTATCGACTCCTGCAATACCGTAACCATTCAGTGACTAAACCTTGTCAGTAAAACATGTTGATGATTCGCTGCTTGACATGCATGGGTAGTGTGCCAATATATCTTTGGTATTTTGTTGGAAATAGTAATGTTTATCGGGAGTAGATCATTCGTGTATGGATAGAGGAGACATAGATGAGAGTAGTTCCACTTTCGTCCTCAGTCGAATGTCGAGATGACGCCAGTATGGTCAGTAATTACAAACAAAATGTAAGCAAAAATACATAACTCGCAGGTAATGGCATTTGATTGGCTTACAATGCGCAGTAAGGTTCCATGATCCTAAGACCCGTGAAGGTCCGGGTTAGAATATAGATCTTCAGTAACCCATGCCTGTCGTAAGAGGCGACTAGCGGGATCGGGTGGTCAGGCTCACTGACTTGGTTGACACATGTCATCTGTTCCCAGTTGCACAGGTCGATGCTCATGCTGTTGATCACTGCATGGTCCAGACTCGAGTATTCACAAACCGTCACCATATAGCTGGAATATTGCTGAGTGAGACGTTAAACAACAAACCGACCGGCGTAAAACTAAACAGTGCGGCGTAAAACTAAACTCACTCACTCACTCGATGTTTCTAAAGACAGTAGGCAACACCCATTAGCGGACAGCTTTCGTAGGTTTTTTATAGTTGCTCGGTTTGTCACGTGTCCAGTCCGTGGTAAGCAAGGCCTTGTGTCGGATTAAGGTGTTTAATTTAGGTTTAAATAATCTGCTTTTGAAATGGATGCGTTTATGGATGCGTACATGGTACAATAGCTGTGATACACATAGCAGTGGTACAATAGCGGTGGTACACATAGCGGTGGTACACATAGCAGTGGTACAATAGCAGTGGTACACATAGCGGTGGTACACATAGTGGTACACATAGCGGTGGTACACATAGCGGTGGTTCACATAGCAGTGGTACACAGAGCGGTGATACACATAGCGGTGGTACACATAGCGGTTGTACAATAGCGGTGGTACACTTAGCAGTGGTAAATTAGCGGTGGTACACATAGCGGTGGTACACATAGCCATGGTACAATAGCGGTGGTACACATAGCGGTGGTACACATAGCAGTGGTACACATAGCAGTGGTACTCATAGCGGTGGTACACATAGCGGTGGTACACATAGCAGTGGTACACATAGTGGTGCTACACATAGCAGTGGTACACATAGCGGTGGCACACATAGCGGTGGTACACGTAGCAGTGGTACGCATAGCAGTGGTACACATAGCAGTGGTATGCATAGCGGTGGTATACATAGCGGTGGTACACATAGCAGTGGTACACATAGCGGTGCTACACATAGCGGTGGTACACATAGCAGTGGTACACATAACGGTGCTACACATAGCGGCGGTACAATAGCGGTGGTACACATAGCGGTGGTACACATAGCAGTGGTACACATAGCAGTGGTATGCATAGCGGTGGTACACATAGCGGTGGTACACATAGCGGTGGTACACATAGCAGTGCTACACACAGCGGTGGTACACATAGCGGTGGTGCACATAGCGGTGGTACAAATAGCGGTGGTACAATAATACATAGCGGTGGTACACAATAGCAGTGGTTACATAGCAGTGTGATACACAATAGCATAGCGGTGGTACAATAGCAGTGGTACAATAGCGGTGGTACACATAGCGGTGGTACAATAGCGGTGGTACATAGCGGTGGTACGCATAGCAGTGGTATAGCATAGCGGTGGTACAATAGCAGTGGTACAATAGCAGTGGTACACATAGCGGTGGTACACATAGCGGTGGTACAATAGCGGTGGTACACATAGCGGTGGTACACATAGCGGTGGTACACATAGCAGTGGTACAATAGCAGTGGTACAATAGCGGTGGTACACATAGCGGTTCATAGCAGTGGTACACATAGCAGTGGTACAATAGCAGTTGTAATAGCAACTAAATCTGAGGTTAATATATCCACTCAACAGAAACAGGTGAAAGTATTATCTTCATTATAGCTCAGTATTAATCTCAGCTCACAACTGAAATTGACATTAACTTCAGAAAGGTGTGTCTTATGAGGTAACATTGCGTGAGCAGAATCACAAGGTAAGCAAACCTCAAACCTCATACTTAGGTAGGAAATATGTTTTGCGTTTCAATGAACATAAAATATACCTTCATAGATATGGCCTAGATACAACCAACACACACTCTATTATTTATACCATTACTGTTATAACATGCTATCGTTTTGCTGACAGATGACATCGCACGTGGAAAACCTGCCAGTCAGAGCAGCACATGGACAGACAATACCGGTACATATGATGCCAGTAAAGCTGTTGACGGGGATGTCAGCACAGACTTTAGTCATGGAAGTTGTTCACATACAAACGGATCAGATGGCGGGAATGCCAGCTGGCATGTTTTTCTTGGTGGAACGTTCCTAATCAGCCGGATCACAATCTATCTCCGTAGTGACAGTAAGTTGTGTTCTCTCTCTTTATGAGATCAAAATAAAGTGTATGACCATAAACACTTCCTGTCTGACAGCAGACTGCTGAAGCTAAGGATTTGAACTGATGTGTAAAGTGGATTTACGTAACTGTTTACAGACCCGACAATAACTTGCCTTCGATAAAGAGTCCATGTTGTGTATGTAAAACGAAGGAACATACCACGCGACGTTTCTTTTGTAAACGTCAGTTGTATTTTGATTATTTATGTGTAACATATGCTCTATTGCAGCCATTGACCACTATCAAGCAATGGAAGTATTGGTCAACAACAGGACATGTAGAAAGCTACCTGTGACAGACATCAGAGATTCTCCAGCTCATCTGAGAAGTAACCCTGTGACACTCAGCTGTATACAACCTATAGAGGGCGACACTGTAACCATTGAAATGGCGGGGCCTTACTTGGCACTTTGTGAGGTGCAGGTGTTTGGTGAGAAGAAAGGTAATAATACAATCAGACCAGACGTGTTAAGTGAATAATTTCAAACAATGACTGTCCAGCTAGTTCTGTTTAAATGTATGGATAGTAAAAATATGTACGTGTATATGTATATGTATATGTAGATGTATGTAGAACGTGTGTGTCTAAACATTATGTTTTCCTATATAGACTAATAGATTAGAGGGTGTCGGCAGACGTGAATACAGAGTTGAGATCGTAAATAGAGTTGTTAAACTGAAACAAATTTTCCTCATATATTATGATGAATCAAAGTTTTCTGGGGAGCAGTCTGCCCTGTTATCAATGAGTTCTGGTGACTGAAATCCTGATAAACTGTTCTGCAATTTGTGGTTTAAGTTACGCCATGGTGCATTGTGTTCCCCGAGAACATAACCAAACCTCTAACCATCTTGACCTGTCAGACCCATATTCTACCTCCACGAAATCACTCATCACCGTAGCACTCAACACTATCCTAATACCTCACCATCCCAATCCTTACAATCATCACTCAAACCCATCACCATTCCAAACCTTCACGACCCTTACACATCACCACTCAAACACATCACCATTCAGAACCTTCACGACCCTAACACATCACCACTCAAACACATCATCACTCAAACACATCACCACTCAAAACCTTCACGACCCTAGCACATCACCACTCAAACACATCACCACTCAGACACATCACCACTCAATCACATCACCACTCAAACACATCACCACTCAAAACCTTCACGACCCTAACGCATCATCACTGAAACACATCACTACTCAAAACCTTCGCGACCCTCACGCATCACCACCCAAACACATCACCGCTCAAACACATCACCACTCAAAACCTTCACGACCCTAACGCATCACCACCCAAACACATCACCACTCAAGCACATCACCAATCAAACCGATCACCGCCCAAATCCATCAATATTGAAACACTTACCAACCTATAACCTAACCCGTTTCTGACCCTATCTTCATCTGTTCTTTTATTCATGCCTCTGCAATGCATATATAGGAACTGGCTTATCGGTTCCGAAACATTGCTAGATATTTTATCAACATTATTCCATTGATAGATCACACATATTATTATGTGTCAAATATAACCATACCCTCAAAATGTTATTGTGGTTCAAAGTTCACGATTAATAATGAGAAATGTATTTCCATATGTTTTCTTCCACAAGAACTGATATACATATACCAGTGTTTATCAGTGTATGTCGTTCCAACGTAGATAATATTCAGATACTCAAGGTTGTGTAAGGTGACTTCTTCTGTGTTGGGGGCGGTGGGGTAGCCTAGTGGTTAAAGCGTCCGCTCGTCACGCCGAAGACCCGGGTTCGATTCCCCACATGAGCACAATGTGTTAAGCCCATTTCTGGTGTCCCCCGCCGTGATATTGCTGGAATATTGCTAAAAGCGGCGTAAAACTAAACTCAGTCAGTCAGTCAGTCTTCTGTGTTGCAGTGCCGTGCCACTGTTCTAATGGCTGCTCAGATTTCCCCAACACTCCATGTTCAGCAACTTCAACGGGCCCAGTTTGCATACCATCATGGTTCGGAAGGTTTTGCCAAATGGGTGAGATAAATAAGGATACGACCAGATTAATCAAATACCATATGTGTGTGTGGTAATCGTCATACTGATTTCACTGTGTTACTAAATGTACATGCAATTCCTTGTAACATATATGTATGTGGTAATCGTCATACTGATTTCACTGTGTTACTAAATATACATGCACTTCCTTCTTACATGTATGTGTGTGGTAATCGTCATACTGATTCCATTGTGTTACTAAATATACATGCACTTCCTTGTAACATATATGTGTGTGGTAATCGTCATACTGATTTCATTGTGTTACTAAATACACATGCACTTCCTTGTCACATGTATGTGTGTGGTAATCGTCATACTGATTCCACTGTGTTACTAAATGTACATGCACTTCCTTGTAACATATATGTGTGTGGTAATCGTCATACTGATTTCATTGTGTTACTAAATATACATGAACTTCCTTGTAACATGTATGTGTGTGGTAATCGTCATACTGATTTCATTGTGTTACTAAATATACATGCACTTCCTTGTAACATGTATGTGTGTGGTAATCGTCATACTGATTTCACTGTGTAACTAAATATACATGCACTTCCTTATAACATATAGGTGTGTGGTAATCGTCATACTGATTTCACTGTGTTACTAAATATACAATCATGCACTTCCTTATAACATATATGTGTGTGGTAATCGTCATACTGATTTCACTGTGTTACTAAATATACATGCACTTCCTTGTAACATATATGTGTGTGGTAATCGTCATACTGATTTCATTGTGTTACTAAATATACATGCACTTCCTTGTAACATATATGTGTGGTAATCGTCATAATGATTTCACTGTGTTACTAAATACACATGCACTTCCTTGTAACATGTATGTGTGTGGTAATCATCATACTGATTTCATTGTGTTACTAAATATACATGCACTTCCTTGTAACATGTATGTGTGTGGTAATCATCATACTGATTTCATTGTGTTACTAAATATACATGCACTTCCTTGTAACATGTATGTGTGTGGTAATCGTCATACTGATTTCACTGTGTTACTAAATATACATGCACTTCCCTGTAACATGTATGTGTGTAGTTGTCTACACACCGATTTCCTTTTGTTTCGTGCACTTCCATGTAAACATATGCTGCAATGAAGAAGTGGTGTTTGTGTCAGTTGTGTATTCATTTACAAAGACGATTGCATAACACGACACTCAGTAGCAGTTTAAATCCCGACTCATATGAATGTAGTGCCATGCTTAACATACTGTAATGCTGAAATAAAACTCTTATTGTTAACGATTAGCTGCTACAGGCGATGTCGTTGGGCAAATCTTCCCATAGGTTAGTTGACGTGTTAGTCAGTGGAACATACCATGTATTTATAACTTTTATATTTCTTTCTTTCTGTGGGGAGAACACCCATCGATCTGTTCGCTTCTTGATAGTGTAATGTATTAATGATATTGATATCATCCAACTCTGGCGTCCTGATTACTTTAGTCAAAGTGAACTAAAATAGCTTTAATGACACACGACTGTGCTTCTGATATGTTTCTGTTCATCTGCTTACAGAAAACATTGCCTTTCAAAAGACAGCAGCACAGAGTAGCAATTATAGTGAAGGCGGCATCCCCTACTGTGCTGCGTATGCTGTAGATTGGAACACTGACACAGATTTCCCTCACAGGAGTTGTTCTCACACAAACAACGCTTCCGCCAGCTGGCAGGTTCTCCTTGATGATCATCGGATGTTCAACATCAGCAGGATCAGGATCTACCTGCGAGACGGCTGTAAGTCATATACATTAACTATAGAGTTCTGTTTCACCAACACATGCAATGTTCCACTATCCTGGATAAATGTTATTTACAAAAACATCTACATTATGCAACGCAAGAAGAAGTTAGATTGTATTGACTATTAAACACCTTCCTTTGTTACGGTTAAATAATTGCCGTGACAAAAGGTTTAAGAGTCCCCTTTGAACCAGCAAAATATAATACAGACAAGCCTAAAATATCCAATAATATATTGAGCAAACAATGAGCAAGCTACAATAAATAACAATGCAGCTATATATTACAATGCAATTGAGTCACAAATCTAAAGTAATGGGTCACAAATATGAAACATCAGAGTCAATGAGAGCAGATATTCTAACTGAAGGTAGTTTACGATGAGAGCAGTCAGACTCGCACTGTCTTGAATGTAGGTCAGACGATGACAGACAGACGACGGTAGGCAGGTGACGGCAGAAAGATGTACACAACTCTAGTTATATAAAAAGTCCCGTGTAATTCCGTGTCAACACAATAACAAGCCTTTATATATACTGACACAGTGTCTAGAACTTTCAAGCAAAGCGTGGCTGTATCATTCTTCTCTCAGTACTTTATGGAAATCTGTGGAACGCACGAGCGGTCAAAACAGAAATAAAGCCAAAGGAGGCAACTCTGGAGAGCTATCATAAAGGCGTGCCGCTAAAATACTATTGCCATTGAACATATATGATACGAAATGTGACCCACAACCCACACTAAAAACTTTAAACATTGTGGCCCAATAATAACTATCACTTAATCAGTGATAATACAAATTACAAAAAAAACCACTCTCATAACACTCTGCCCCTTAAGGACAATCATAGCAAGATAACTAACATAATAAAATCACATGTAATAATATGAATAACATGAGAAACATCTTGCAGAATTACTAAGATATAATGCGGATACAAACATACAGTATCATCAAGTCATTATACATTTACAACCTGGAAAGTGCATCAGCAAAAACATTGTATTTGCCTTTAATGTGTCTAATCACAAGATTGAACCCTTGCAAGGTCAAACTCCACCTCATAAGTCTTTGTTTCTTGTTCTTCATTTTATGAAGAAAACTCAAGGGATGGTGATCAGTAAACACTTTAATTGGCAAAGTAGAGGTACCTATACTAGCCACATAAAGAAACTGTGCATTGTCAAAATATTATCCCAGTTGAAAAGTACGATAACAATGTCAAAGGTACATATGAACTTTAATGGAGGGATCATGAGACCATAACAAGTAGGGAGAATTTCAATTGAAAAGTCAATCACAATGACGTCACGAGTCCACAAGCGGGACAGGGGTCAAACGACCATGTCACAAGCTCAATAACGGGTATGTCCACCATCGGCATTGAGAACAGCAGTTCATCGACGACACATAGAGCCTATCAAACGTGCAAGGAAGGCTTGTGGGATGTCACGCCAGATTCTCTCAAGTTCTGTTGCAAGGTCAAGGACGTTATCTGGCGGATGAGGAAGACGGCGTAGACGTCGATCCATCTCGTCCCAAACATGCTCTATCGGGGAGAGATCCGGTGAATTTGCAGGCCAAGACAGTAAGTAAACGTTGTGGTGTTGCAAGAAATCCATAGCAACCCTTGCCGTATGAGGGCGGGCATTGTCCTGTTGGAATGTTAACCCAGGGCCATGACGTTGCAGAAAAGGAATTGCCACAGGTCGAAAAATCTGATCTCCCCACGGACCATCCCAATGGCCTCATGACGTTGTGCAGACGTGAGCCTTGGCATGCTATGCGTTTCAATAGCCGTTTAATTTTTTTGAACGATCGCAAGGGCAGGGGTTGAGCTTTCCAAAGTGACAGTATTGTGTGACATTCATATGCTCTGTTTCTCTTTCCCGGAATGCACGTGCAACAACGTATTGCACGTCTCAAGGACGAACCACTGACGTCACGGAACGTGGCACGTGCATGCATGTTGGATACATGCCACTTATCTCTGAGTTTAAATCCTTATGTGTCTACACAGGTTTAATAAATTTAGATTTTAAATTTTTGTATGCACAGTGTCTTTATGTGCCTAGTATATTTTTGGGTGATCATGTTATTAACCACTGATGTCGTATATGCGGGTCTGTACATAAACACTGCTAAATCTACCGTTAGTCGTACTGTTTTTATATGTGAAAAGCTTAGAAAGCTAGTCAATGTTAACCACAGTCATGGATTGTATTTTGGTGGTCTTCACCCTATGCATGCTGTACGCATATGGGAACGTATTGTACTACCCTGTGGTCTATTTGCCTGTAATATGTGGTGTAACTTATCAACTAAAGAATACGATATGCTTGAATGTGTGCAAAAATACTTCTGTAAAAAAGTACAAGGGTTCTCTAAACGCACGGCTCTGTCATTGCCAGAGACTGTCTTGGACTTGTATCACTCCGTGCGTATATTGATCAGAGAGCATTATTGTTCCTGGGAAGACTGCTTAACACTGATATTAGTTTCATTGTCAAACGAATTTTTCACTATAGATTAGCTCAACATGATTGTAAGGATAGTATGCAAAACATGCTGAAGTGTAAATCCTCTCCTTTACACCATATGTTATATCTTACCTGTAAATATGATCTTACTGAATATGTTGACATTTATCGTAACTCATCTGTATTTGTTACTAAAAATCAATGGTCAAATCTCGTAAGAGATAAAGTCTCAAAATTTGAAGCAAATGTCGTTTCCTCTGAACTTAACTACAGAATCAATCTCCACAGATATGCTCCCCTACGCAATCCAGCTGCTGGTAACAAACTTTGGTTAATAGCTCTTAATGATTCAGATTATTTCTATGACATATCCTACCTTATCCGTGTCGGCACTTTCGGTTTACAATCTAAAGAATGCTTATGTGGCACATATGCTTATGACATTGTAAAACATGTATTTCTCTTTTGTCCACAAACGGAATGTAACAGAGAGCGACTTTTTAGCTCCCTCATTGATCTATTGGATGTTACAACCTTTGTTAGTGTTTGGAATGATGATGATGATGCACTGATTAGTTTTCTACTTGGAGGAGTGCCAAATGATAACATTAGAGATCTTGGTACTGATCTATGGATTCAATGTATGAAAATCACAAGTAAAGCTGTTCATGAATGGAAACGGTTTTTCATCACATGTTACTAGATTCACATCCCCCCATATATACATATCTTTAAATGTTTTCTTGTATTGTATAACCTTCATACACTTGTACTTTGTAAAATGTAATATCTGCTAAATCATGCATATGTATCGTCAATTTTGGAGGAGGAAATATCTAAAACGATCTATCTATCTATCTATCTATCTAAGTTTCCTATCTATCTATCCTATCTAAACTCTATCTATCAAAAGTTTCCCTTTCCCCTAGCAAACTCTACAAAAGTCTCATTGTCCCTTTTATGAGCATTTCTGAATTTCTGACAATAAGCTTCAGGCACTAACTCATAAGCTTTTAAAAGTGTCCTTTTGACAAGATCATAGTCTGACCTTTGCTGTATCGACAAGGCCGAGTAAGCATCCTGAGCTTTACCCTTCAAAACAGTTTGCAGTAGCATAGTCCCTAGGCCACTTGAGGTTTTCAGCAACTTTTTCAAAATGTAGAAAGTATTTGTCAACTTCTTTCTCATTAAAAGGGGGTACCAGTCTGGCATGCCTTGCAATGTCAAAAGAGGAAGAATTTGAGGGAGAAGGGTTTTCAAGCTTTTTAAGTTCAATTTCTCTGTCAATTTCCAGTTTTCTCAATTCTATTTCCTTTCTTTCTCTTTCTCTTTCTGTTTCTCTCTCTATTTCCATCCGTTTTAGCTCTTCTTCTTTTCTATTTTTCTTCTTTTTGAATTTGTAACTGAATTTCAAGTTGTTCCATCTCCACATTTTCTGAATTTTCTTCTATCACCATTTCCAAAACCTCACGCCCCAAACTTCCTCATCAATAAAGTGATTCAACACGATTTTCAAAATCTGAAATTTCCTCATAGCAGGTTTGGCCACAAGTTTAGGATGTGAAGAAATTTGCAATAAATCTGATTTGCGCAATTCCCTGACTGTCTCAGGGTCAGGGGAATTAAGAAACTTCCCAAGTTTAAACACCGTTTTGGTGGTTTCACAATTAACTTGTAGCGAAATTGCAGAAATTTGAAACATATTTTTCACAAAAGGTCTCAAATGCCAAATGAATTCTATCCCGAACGAGCCCCCAATTTTGTTACGGTTAAATAATTGCCGTGAAAAAAGGTTTAAGAGTCCCCTTTGAACCAGCAAAATATAACACAGACAAGTCTAAAATATTCAATAATATATTGAGCAAACAATGTGCAAGCTACAATAAATGACAATACAGATATTTAGTACAATGCAATTGAGTCACAAATCTAAAGTAATGAGAGCAATCAGACTCGCACTGTCTTGAATGTAGGTCAGACGATGACAGACAGACGACGACGACGGTAGGCAGGTGACAACAGAAGATGTACACAACTCCAGTGATATGAAAAGTCCCGTGTAATTCCGTGTCAACACAATAACTAGCCTTTATATATACTGACACAGTGTCTAGAACTTTTGAGCAAAGCGTGGCTGTATCATTCTTCTCTCAGTACTTTATGGAAATCTGTGGAACGTACGACCGGTTAAAACAGAAATAAAGCCAAGGGAGGCAACTCTGGAGCGCTATGTGAAAAGGCGTGCCGCTAAAATACTATTGCCATTGAACATATATGATACGAAATGTGACCCACAACCCACACTCAAAACTTTAAACATTGTGACCCAGTAATAACTATCACTTAATCAATGATACAAATAATACAAATAATTACAAAAAACACACTCTCGTAACACCTTACACAAGTTGACTTTGATATGATAAACAGCCAGCTGTTTACAGCTTGTTTTTCTAATTGTAAGCTATCAGCAGATAGATTTCAAAACAAACACTTCGCTGAGTTTTCAGAAATTAGCTTGTTTGGTTTAATAAAGTGTAAACTTAAAAACATCCCGTTGTTGTTTATGAGAAAACGCAAGAGTATGATTTGACTTTAGCGAGGTAACGAACGCGACACGCGTGTGAGGTACAGAATTAGAATGATAGTACCTGTCCTTTCAATCCACATCGAAATTATCATCCCCAATAAAACCAAAGCATAATAAAAGTACTATCCATGAGTTGCCCATTTACTTCTGACACTACAAAGTATACTTTTATCTTCTTTATCATTCCAATTCTAGAAGGGCGTTTTGGATATCATAAGCCTCTTGAAAAGTGGGAATACTCGGAAATAACTTGAAAATATAAACTACTTTGTAATATATTTCCGCTTCTGGTAATAGTGAACGAATTGGGAAGACATTACAACCGTTAGGGAAGTATCAGAGTATGACCGCCAGCGATCACGTTATTAGGTCAGTAATGCATAATACCAATACTATTTCTAAAATATTCTTCACTCGACGAGGCATATTGTTTTCCCATAGTCGATTACATTGTCTGTCCCAATCGCCTGGCTGCACCTAGCATGTTGGTCGGTGGTCTACCACTTTGGGCAATGAGGAATTGTTCACGGTGAGCACGGGCATTATCTTCCTGAAAGACAAAACGTCGTCTTAAACGCCTTTGCAAATGTTCAGAATAGCACTGTCCATGAACCTACCTTGTACAGTATGGTGTGGGGTTCCCTCGGTCATACCATCAAAACCGCGTCTCAGGCTGATGTTGCCCTGGCGTTCATTTCGACATCGTTAAACACGTTTGGGGACTATCGAGGAAACGCAAAGCGACACTGACGTCTACTGACAATGTCACAGCTGGTAGGGGAGACAACCCACGAGGACGATGAGTACGAAGATCACGTTGCAGCCGCCGAATCTCACACGAAAGGACTTACTGCCTGCAGCACCTGTAATCTATATGATGTTTCTTGGTCTGAATCATAGGTCTTACAGAAATAAACGTTCTTGTGTAGGATGTTTAGCAACACTATTCTTTGTTCAAATACTAGATATCAACATTTGTATTTCATGATCCCCTAATCATTTATTCATACATTTCATTTCCATTTCATTTTATTCAATTTCAAGTTTGGGACCGCAACGATGGCCTGCAGGTGCTTGTGAACGGCGACCTGTGTGTCCCTGTGAGTGGAACACCTGACTGGTTAGATGGAGCTGTAACTAACCCTTTTGACGTCACATGTACCCACGTAATGAAGGGGAACAATGTTACCATCACCATAAGCGGAGCATTTCTGTCATTGTGCGAGGTTCAAGTTTTTAGTAAGTATGATCCGATCGACATCGAGCTCGAGAGTATGTATGTTGTTCATGATATTGTTGACAAGAGGCTGTGAATTTAATAGAGAATACAATCAGTACATCATTACACATGTTTAAAATTGCTTCTGATAAGTGAGATATTTTAATTTATTTCTCTCTTATTATGTCTTACATGACGGGAGTGAGTGAGTGAGTGTATAAGTATTGCTTAACGCCGCATAAGCAATTGCAGCTATTCACGGTGACGTGCTGAACGGACACGTTACCACCTAAATGTCTGTATGTGTAGATGCTAAGAACCTTTGATTTGCTTTTTTGTACAATATGATAACGTGTTTTGTGTGTTATGTTGAAAGCACATAATTACAGATCAATCATTATTCAGTGGTGATGGAAGCTGATTGGGCGAATAGACGAAAGAAGAAAACTGAATTGTAACTGAATTGTAATTGTAATTAATTGTAACTGAATTGAAACTTTACTTCGCTCAGATCACATTTAACTAGGATAAAAGGATATAGTTACATCTTACAGAAACCAAAACATACGTCTGGCAGTTATTGCAAGTTTGTCAGGTGTACTTTTTAAATATCAGAAAAGGAATATAATTTGTAAATTTTGGAAGATTTCAATCAACAACATCTTCTGGGAATGTGTGTGACAATGTATGTTTGATTTTATATGGCAAACTCTGCACATGTTGAAATAGTAGCTAGTCAGCAGAAACTGAATGAAAATTGGTCATTTGTACAGTGATCGCTGTCAGAAGGTTTGGTCAGGGGAAGCTCTTGTCCAAAACGTTCTACGTGTCAATTGTGAAGTTAGGAAGGTTTGCGGAATTCAAAACTCTAAGTAAATCATAATTTACAAACCGCAGATCCACAGGATCCAACGAGGTTGATATATTCTCGAAATTCCTGACTTTGGGTTCATACCACATGCTGTCCAAAAGGTTATATTTGGCGATCTCTGTTTACTAAGAAATTCAGTACCCAGCATGTAGCCATGAAATATGTTCAACAAGGAAGTGATAAATAGTCTAGAGTTTGATATCCGTTGTTAGTCCTGACTATAGAAAGTATATTACGAACAATATCAAACTAAAACTGATGTCCTTGCAGTTTGCGGTGATGGTTGGTTTGGGGGTAACTGTGAGAAGCAGTGCCAGTGTCTAGATCCATCTGAAGTATGTGACAAGGAGACTGGCTACTGTAGGAGTGGATGTGCTGCCGTGAAACATGGACCAGGGTGTCAGCAAGGTATCTAACATCTCATTATATTCTCACAACTCCTGACTTTGGCTATATTTCCCGAGCTCTTCTTACGCTAAAAGAACGTATTCTGCATATCAAGGTTTCAGTGAAACATGTTCTACAAGAAAGTGATACATAACATAGAGTTTGATCCCCATCGCTAGTTAAGACTATAGAAAGTATATTACGAACATTATCAAACTGAGACTGATGCATGTCCTTGTAGTATGCAGTGATGGTTGGTTTGGCTCTGACTGTAACAAGCTTTGCCAGTGTCTGGATCCATCTGAAGTATGTGACAAGGAGACTGGCTACTGTAGGAGTGGATGTGCTGCTGGGAAACATGGACCAGGGTGTCAGCAAGGTTTGGTTTGGTCATGCTAATACTAGCTTTAAATTAGTCTGTCGTTTTAATGGCAAATTAACCATATAGAGCGCGTGGCCATATTATTATGTACAATTGTAATGCGTTGATATCGTGTAGTGCAATGCCCGATTTTAAAATACTGCTCCTGAAAACATCGTCTGGATATTTGGTGGCATTATAGTGATGTAATATATCCTTTGAAGTCATTTTGATATCATGCATATAATATATAATTACGTATCCATCTGAAGATATTTTTCTTTCTATTGCTGCTATATTGTGAGTATCTTACACTCTTTACAGACTGTGACCATGGTCACTACGGGGTCAACTGTTCCTACACGTGTGGTCAGTGTACTGGGTCATCTGATTGTCAGGAGGTCGATGGAACCTGCACACAGGGATGTCAACGGGGTTACAGTCCCCCTTTGTGTAAAGGTGAAAATTGCATGAAAATGATCTAAACTCTATGCATTTCTTTGTTGTATCAACAGCATTACGGCAAGTATTGTAAGGACGTGGGAGGGGTGACAGAAAAACTTGTTAAAGTGTCATTGACCAATGAAATTAAAGTATTTTACATGAAGGTAAGATAAAGCTATTATATATATGCATATATATAGTTGTATACTTATTATTTGTTTGTTATTCCCCCCCCCCCCCGGAACTACAACGGTTATACTCATGTGAATGTTTACTAAGTTTTGAATATTTTCAGTGTGCAATGATCAGTGGTTTGGCACCAACTGTAGTGAACAGTGCAAGTGTCAGAATGAAACAGAAGCATGCGACAAGACCACCGGGAACTGTACAAGTGGCTGCCGTGCTGGGAAGACAGGGGTTGGATGCCAGGATGGTGAGATGACGCTGCTTCATGGATGAGAGAAACATACATTATGTTGAGGCTGATTTGCTATAGATCCATATTAGAAAACATAATCGGTGTGAAAACATAATTTGCTTGAAAACAACACCTGAAAATATTTCCCCCTCATAATAAGACGTCTTATATAATGCTGACCTCCACATCGCACTGGCATGCCCTGAGCTCACACAACATGGTGAACATTATGACCCCGAATAACGAAAATCTGTCCATGAGGCGCTAGAAGGTAGACAGGTATATTTTTATTGAACATAACATACTGTTAAAATTTATGTGTATAAGCATAGACTGAATGAACGTTGATCTACGTCCCGTACTTTATCACCTGTACAGATTGTGGCCAGGGTCAGTATGGGGTCAACTGTTCCTCCACGTGTGGTCAGTGTAGCCGGTCGTCCGACTGTAATAAGGATGATGGACACTGCACACGGGGATGTCAAATAGGTTACCTCCCCCCTTTGTGTAAAGTTGAGAAATATCTGTTACTGACTAAAAAGGTGTCATTTGGGATGGCGTAATTATTCAAGTAATACATTCGTGCTAATTTGCCATTAACAAAATGTCGGTGCTTTTTTCAAAAGTAGTTGCCAGATTCTACCAGTTAAATACTAAGATCAATAAGACTTGAATTAGTCGACTATTAGCAACCTTTTGAACCTTTTCTTTGTGGAAAAATGAAATTACCAGGGAAAGCCTGAAATATTAATATGACACAATGACACAATACTATGACAACAGCAGAAGAAGTCCAACGTTGTGGCATTGTTAGCTGTTCCTGGTCATGAATACTATGTGCACAAATCCTTGAGTAATCTACAGTAAAGTCTCCGAAGCCAACTGCATTGTACAAACAGTTTGACAGGAGAACAGATGATTTGGGAACGGTTGGTTGGTTGGTTGGCTGGTTGGTTGGTTGTTTAACGCTGCACTCAGCAATATTCCAGCTATATGGTGGTGGTCTGTAAATAATCGAGACAATCCAGTGATCAACATCATGATCACCGATTCACGCAAGTGGGATACGATGACTTGTCAACCAAGATAGCGAGCCTGACCACCCAGTCTCCCTTTACGACAAACCTGGGTTGCTGAAGACCAGTTGTAACCCGGATGTTCAAGGGTAATTTGGGTAAGGAGGCTGGACCTTGGCTTCAACTACTCAGGCGCTGAACAATCTCGATGTGAAGTTACTCGAATCCCAAACCAATAACTGATGGTTAACAGACCTTTAAAGGGGGCATGAGATTCTACATTCTCAAAAGACGATCTGTGTATACCCAATTTCCTTTTTCAGTATAATATTATACCACATGGGTTAGAAAACGTATATAATTACTTCCTTTCAACGCCTCTTCAATGACGCCACTCCAGACAGATACAAAGATGTTCACCGACAAAATTGTCAGCTGTTGGATGGAATGGGTCTATCGTTGGCCTTCTCTGAGAGTCCCATGACAACAATACACTGGTTCCTCACATTACATAGCTCTGTATCGGGGGATAGGGGCTGGGGTGGGGGTGGGACTAGCAACTAACGTGTCAAGAGCTGGGATATGGTGTGTACTGTACACAACCAAGGGAGGCCACTGTATATGAAGATCACCACCAATGTTACCAATTTCATCATTTTGTATGGTCATTTTCTAACTGATATGTTTTCTGTCTGTATCAGACTGTGCAGAAGGATGCTATGGTGTTAATTGTTCACAACAATGTGGCTCGTGTAAAGATGACTCACCGTGCAATACAACTACTGGTGTCTGTGTGCTGGGATGTACAGATAACTTTGAAGAGCCATATTGCAAATGTAGGTGACACTTTCATCCAATCATAGTGATGTATATATTGCATTTCGTTAATAATATTTATGATTTAATTCTTAGTAGTAAAATTAAAATTACAGTTCGCCTATGAAATATATTCTCTTTGTTTATTTTAGGCTATTACAAGACGCCGCCTTTGTTTTCAAGTATTTGTTATATTCTCTAAATATAATAATAGATTTAGTTTTTCTGTAGTCAATGCTGCTGAATACCTGCATACATTCGGAAATCTCATGCATAACTAGTTCATCTAGACCTGGTCGTGTAACTGATATCTGATGGCGGTCTGAACATCACTGACTGTCTTCAAGCATGTTATACATGCACATGTATGGCGATTTCTAAGGTGTGGTTGACAGGGCGCTTGACCTCGGATAAGGTGAACCTGTCTAGAAGCAAAGGACTCAGGTTATGCCAGGTTACTTTGTGTCATGGCTGAATGATGAGTTGTTGACAAATGTTGAGTGTGAATAAGACTTTCCTAATGTGATTGATTTCCCTTTGAAAAATGGTGGTAAATGTTTTCGACATTTTTGTATCAAATGTTATGTTCGCAAATCATGTCTCCAAACCTAAAGAAGTAAGTGTTTAATCCTACAGTGAACTTTTGAACTGGTCCCTAATGTATGTAATGTGTCCAGTTTGACAATTGGTTGTTCTTGATGTAAGTTGAATATTTCCATGCTATAGAAAATATTTATGTAAAAAATCTAACTCAAAATTGACACGGTTCTTTAGGAGTATGTTGTGGAAAATGGACCATGAACACTCAAAACTCCACATGTTCATCACCACAGGAATTGTTGTAGCTGAATGATAAGAAGTGTCTTCAGTCAAGTTGTCCCCTTTTGTGTGGTTACTCCTGAAACCCCATTGCTTCCACTTCACTGAATATTAATACTCAACTATTACTAGAAACTAAGATAACAGATTTGGACATTTAAAGGTATTTCAATATCTCAGCTACTTTTTTAAAGAGTATGTAAGCGTTAATTCTTCCACCATATTTCAAATGGATATACATTCTGAACGTGTTCATTCTAATTCATCCATATTCCGGTGCCAATATCAAATTGCCCAGTCCTCCTATATGCAGGTCTCAGTGACATGCAATATATGAAATCCTTCATGGTCAATAATATTTATCATTTATATTAAGAATTAATGACTGATTACAATTTTGTCGCCAGGTCAAAACGAAAAATATAGCTTCAAGAACTAATATTTTAACGTTGGATACTTTTGTCCATTACCCTGGGTTCTGAAAACGTCTAGTGAGCTGGTGATATAGTTTATTATTCCAACAGCATGTGTCCAGGGAAAGTACAGTGTAAACTGTTCAGCCACCTGTGGTCATTGCAAGGATGGTCCTGGGTGTGACCGGTCAACTGGACACTGTGAAAGGGAATGTTTGCCAGGATACGCCCCACCACTGTGTGTGAAAGGTTGGGTTTGTGATCGTATCATATTTACTCAAATTCTTAAACATGTATATTAAACATTGATACCAAAATAATGATGAATTTTGTACAACCTTTTTCTAAATTCTTTTCAAATAGTTTGATAATATGGGTAAAGCATGAACTCGTATACAGAGTGTTGATTAATTACAGTTCGGAACTAACCTATTCTTTGAGCACCAGGCACAGGGCAACGTTAGAGCCTAGGGAATTAGTTTACTGGCAGAAACCGTCTTCTGTTGAAACCTATTGGGTTTCAGAGTGTGGAGACTACACATACGGTCTGAACTGTTCTGGCGTCTGCAGCTGTCTGAACCAGTGTGAGGTGTGTGACAAGGTCACAGGGGAATGTGGAACTGGGTACCAGACAACAACAACAATAACAACAACAGCAACAGGAACAACAGAGCAATGTCAATGTCAATGTAATTGCTATCAGGATAATATATACCCTGACATTTGTACAAAAAAATCACTGTCAAATTGCCTGCAGCTATCTGAGCCAGTGTTCAAGGTCAGACAGCAATATGATTCGCCGACTAATATGCTGACGATATACTCTTTGCCATATATACCTCTCCGTCGTCTAAATACCATGATCAAATTTTGAGCCGACAATTCATATCTAAGTGTCTAATTGATAAGAATTCATTTTGCATAGTATATTATTATCGCCTTAATCCAAGACACAGACACTTTAACGCCTTCATTAGGAAATAGGCATTTAGCAATTCACGTTGGCATAATCAATATGAAATAATATTGGTATTAAGGATAAGGTGTTGCGATGCGTTTTGGTGCAATCTAAATCTAAAGACCTTTTTTTATCACAATAACAATACTAATCCCGAACACATAGGCATGGCATCTAGTGCTTCATGTGTCTCATGATGAAAAATCACGTGTCAGTTTCATAATTAAACCTTGATACAGATGTGTTCCTTTGAAGGTTGAGCATCAAGGGAGTTATACCTCTTGCAAGTGTATTCATATCAGTTTGTGTTTCCCAACAGGCACTGCGAGTCCAGTCAAAGCTGATGATACAGGCAATGCAACAGGTAAGACTAACTGGGACAGGTGCGTGATTGATACTTAATGTGTCTTCCCACCGCGGACAATGTAAGTGATTTTCACATTATACTTATATATATAAACTACGTAAACCGCTATCTACATCTACAGAACATTTAAGAATTTATAAAATAACTCCTCCCACTGTTTCAGACGTTCGCTTCATCGTCGTGTGTTGCCTAATGACGTTGTCTCTTGTTTACTCAGCTGTAACAACAACACTTATTGTCAGGTAGAGTTACCTCTGTTGTCATTTGTTGAGGGAAAGAGTGTGTGATTGTGAGAGAGAAAGAGAGGGTGTGTGAGAGTGAGAGAGACAGAGTGTGTGAGGGGAGAGAGAGAGAGAGAGAGAGAGAGAGAGAGAGAGAGAGAGAGAGAGAGAGAGAGAGAGAGAGAGTTGCGTATGAAACCAAATATGTTCTCTAATCCACTGCATTCGGGGAGGTGTTGAAAAGGCTTTTTCTTGCATTATCATCAGAATAAACTTTATATAACTGTACAGTTTAAACGTCAGCATTCACATCACCAGAGATTGATTACTTCACAATATCAAAATACTTACTCTCTGAACTTGTATATGAGAAACGCGATGGTACCAACTTATTCTATATCTTTC